CCACTTTATTTTCAGTTTCTGGGCCACGTGTGATAACATCCTAAGACTCCTACAACCATAATACACATAATATACAATATTTGCAGTATTTAGAAAATAGATAGGAAGTTGTGTGTGTGTGTGTGTTTAAAGATATTACTTCAAAGTGCAGCTAAAAATAAAAGACTGGAGCATTTCAATATTGGAGGGGAGAGCACAACAAAAGCCCTGTTGTGAACAACTACAAAGCAGACCTCAAGAGACTGTTGCATCACTTGATGATCTCAAGGACCCAGTGGGTCTATGTCTATGAAAGAGAAGTCAGTCTCTCCAATAATGATGTACCAACTAATTAGGAGCAGTCCTACCCATAGACTGTGCAGGCAGTCAATCTCAAGCAACAGACTGTAGGCAAAAGATCAGAAAATTATTTCATTACTATTTTTCCCTACTGCCATTATAAGGGAAGGGTGCAACCTTGGCTTCTTCTGCTTCCAAAACATAATCTTTCAACTAAACCAGTATTTTAGCCAGAGTCTGGAATTGGGGGGTGGTGATGGTAGGAATCATTGGCCATCTGACACAGTTCACCTTCCCTCAAGGTATTTGTTCACCATTTGTTCATCTTGCCTATCAGAGCAAGTAAGCAATGATATGAATGAAGAGATGAAACTGCAAACTTCACTTGCCTTCTGTTCTTTCCCTCCAGTGGTTGCATGGAAGAAGGTTAGTACATAGGTAGCATCAAGGAGATGGGCCCACTTGGAAAGGGATTGGGCCACTGAAGTCACCTTGACATTTTGCTGCCCATGCAAAGAACATACAACAGAGAGAAGCTGACTGGGCTGCCAAGTGAGTTTTGTAGTGTAATGTAGTGTAGTGGCTAGACCATTGGACTATGACTCTGGAGACTGAAGTGAAGTGAGCAATGTGGAACAATGTGCAGAGTTGAATGTACTTTTTTGCACATCCACATGTGCAATAGGTCTGCATGTTCTGCAATTCCACTTCTGCCAATGTCAGCCATTTCACAATGTCATAATAATCATTCCACATGGGTTGCATACCTGTATACATGTCATGAACCGAGGTTCTCTGTTGTTCTTTTGATCCAGAGAG